CAGTTGCCCCAGCACCATTTGTTGAAAACACTATTCTTTCCCCATTGAATGGTCTTGGCACCCTTGTGGGAATCAGTTGACCACGGACACATGGTTTTCTTCTGATTTCTCGATCCGTTCCATTGATCTGTATGTCTATCCCACTGTCTATATACCATTGCTTTGTAGTAAGTTTGGAAATCAGAAAATGTGAGTTCTCCTCATTTGTTTTTCTTTTACAAGATTGTTTTGGCATTCCAGATCCCTTGCAATTTCATACAAATTTCAGAACCAGCTTGTCAGTTTCTACAAATAAGAAAAAAAAGAGGTCATGAATTCCAGAACAAGGGGTTAAGTGGGCTACTCACTGGGCCTTTGGTAAAGTGGCCCCAAGGTTCAGTCCAGATCAGTAATTTTCATCCTTTTTCATTTAATGGCACACATAAACTAATTACTAAAATGATGCTGCTCTGACAAAAAAAATAGGTATAATTTTTATTCATTCATATGGGACAGCTATTGTTGTATTGGCTGTCATCATTTTTTATTTAGAAATCCAAGGGAAAAAGAGGTCAGTGCCCCTGACTAAGAAGTCAGATACTGCATGTTTTAAAAACTCTCATGGCACACTGGTTGAAAATCACTAGTATAGGTCAAGGATCGGCCAACTTTTTCTGTTCAGGGTCAGAGTATTTCAGGGTATATGGGCCATATGGTCTCTGATGCAGTTACTCAATGATGGTACCATGAAAGCAGCTATAGACAATACATAACAAATGTGGGGCCACGTTACAATAAAACTTTATTTATGGACACGGATATGTGTCACAAAATAGTACTCTTCTTTTGATTATTTTCAACCATTTAAAATGTAAAAAGCCACTCTGAGCTTGCAAGCCTTACAGAAAAACAGGAAACAGGCCATATTTGGCCTTCCGGCTGTACTTAGCCATCCCCAAGTCTAGACCGTTAGATTTTTGTTTTTGGGTTCAGGGCCAGAGCTCCCACTAGTGTTGATAGTAACTTTGACTAGCATTATTTCTTCGGCTTATGGGTTCAATGAATAATGCCATCAAAAGTTCGTGTCTTTGCCTTCATTCAAGAACTACACACACAATTCACCTCTGTGTCAGTCTAGGTCCAATGAGGAGCCAGAAACCACACAGTAATTTAAACAGGAAATTTAACATAAAGAATTATTATACAGAGTGGAGAGGGGAGGGAATTTCAGGGGAAAAGGGGAAGGGTCTACAGGAACAAGTATAAAGGACACATGGACAACAACTAAGGGGGGTGGAAATAGGAGGGAGGTGGGGAGCACTGGGGGGGGTGGGCTGGGATGGGAGTAAAAGACACAGAAAACTGTACTTGAACAACAATTAAAGTAAAATTTAAAAATAAAAAATAAATCCTGGGGAAAAAAAGAATTACTATACAGTGACAGGAGAGTAACTAATACATATTGGAAGAAAACAGCCAGGGGAGAGTTCCTAAGGAAGGGTCAAATGGAAGCAGCATTCCCCTGCAAGGCTGGGGTTCAGCCCTCCCTGGAGGTGTGTGGTTACAGCCTGCTGATGGTGGAGAAGTTGGGGTGGGGGACTGCACAGGCCAGAGCTGGCAAGCAGGATAATCCTCTGGATTGCAGGCCGGCCAAAGGCGGTTGGATGTGGACAGAGAACCAAGATGCTGCTATTGATACCAAACATGGAGCCCACACTGTCTGTGTCTGAAGGGCTGCATCGAAGGAACCCATGAGGCACAAGTGAGATGAGGCCAATGGGCAGGTGAGTGGGAACTTCACAGCACAGCTATAGGCACTGCTGGAAATGCAGAGCAAAAAGCTGCAGGGACCCAGTGTGCTTTTCTGCACAGCCTGGGATGGGGCAGCTAAGGAGGGACCCTGCTGTGCATGCACATGGAGCTGAAGAAAGGGGCTGGGGAGCTCTGGGCCTCCGCAGGAGATGAAAAGTCAGGTGATCTGCTTGTCAGGAAGCCAGTCCAGTGGGGCCCCAGATTCCATGCCCGTGGAGATGAAGGGAGGGTGCGGAAGCAGGGACCTGTGCTGCCTGGGCTCCTGACGAAACCGCCGCTGCCTGAGTGGACAGCTGAAGAAAACACAGGATGGCCAATCAGTAGAGGCAGCTGTGTTCTGCAGGCATGTAGCATGAAGAGACCACGCTGGTCAAGGAGTTGGGGGGAAAAGGGTACTCACTCTTCAGGAGCCTGGTGAAAGAGCCACTGAGCCCAGAAGGACCACCCCGTTCTCCTGCGGTGTTGCTCCAGAGCCCACTACTGATAAACCTCGTGCTAGCTGGCCAAGGGAAAGTATTTAAAGGGCCCAGATCCACTTTCATAGATCAGGCAACAAAAAGTGAATTTGGAGCTGAGACAGTATGTTAACATGTGGCGCCATTCCACACACAAAAAACACATTCCACCACACAGGTCAGCACAGCACAGGAGCTGGGTGGGGAGAGAGGGTGAGGTTCAACCCACCCCCCAGAGAAGGCACTCTCCCTACAATAAACAGACAAGGTGATGCTGGCTTTCCGCTTGGATTCTCGGGGTGATAAGAACTGTTTATCTTTAGCAAATGTTTCTACTGTTGGAAAGCTGTGTTTGTGGACATCCTTTTAAATTCTCCCCTATCTTCTACATCCAGGCAATCAATCATCGGTACTTTGGAAACAAACCCTAGGACACTTCTATCTTCCCTTGCAGGCCACATTGCTATCTCCAGAGCTGTTCTGGAAATTTTGTCTGGGCCACGACCACACTTCTGACCTCCCAAATCTGTCCCGGTCTCAGTGCTGTTCATCACGCCTTATCTTTCTCTTAATTTTTCTCCATCTCCCTGCATCATCTCTTCCACATCTTCAACCCCCAGATAATTCCTGTGTTGATGTGTTGGCAGGAAATCTGAAGTGTTTTCACAATTTTATTAATCAGACACAACTCCAATATTGTAATTTATTTACACTAAGATTTTGACAGGTTGGGCCCTTCTGTCAAAAGACAAGCAAGCCTCTGTTCATGGCAGTGTCTCCGAGCCTTAGGGAAAGGCTCAGGCCCTGCTTTTAGTTATTAGGACAGATACTGCACAGAGACTGCGCAGACAAAAACTATTATAAGTAGCATTAAAATCCCCAGGGGGCCCTGGCTGATGTGGCTCAGTGGATTGAGTGGAGGCCTGTGAGCCAAAGGGTCACTGGTTCAATTCCCAGTCAGGGCACATGCCTGGGTTGCCAGTCAGGTCCCCAGTAGGGGGAGCGTGAGAGGCAACCACACACATTGATGTTTCTCTTCCTCTCTTCTCCTTCCCTTCCCCTCTCTCTAAAAATAAATAAAATCTTTAAAAAAAAATAATAAAATCCCCAGGGGATGTGAAAGGTTGGGAAAAGGGGCACCAATGACCAGCAGCAGGGAGGGCTCTGCAGACACAACTCTGCCGCGGTGTCAGTGAGCTGGGACCCGTCCCTGTGGGGTCCCTGTTGGCAGTGGATGAAGGCCAAACCTGTCCCTGAGTGTAACCTGGCTTTGGGAGATTACCAGTCCCCAGCTGCTGCCCAGACCCTCAGAGAAGGAATTCTCTTACCCTCTTCAGAACACTGGTGAACACTGGTGGAAGGAACTCTAGGAATCTTCCTTTTTTTTTTTTTTAAAGTACTATAGAATGCCATGTTTCAACCTATCCCAATTAATTCTCTTTAATTAAAGGGCAGTTGTGTGCTTGGCTGTTCTCCAAAATGACATCTAGATTAAATTCAACAAAGAGGGTATACCCTGTTTTTTAAAAGAAGGTACTGGTTTTTCTTCTTGGCATTTCCCTCTCCCAATAGCAGGACACGGGGAAGGGCCTTGAGCTCACGTGGGAGGCAAAGGGCCCATCTCATTCATCACTGTTCAGACCCGTGTACACTTTCCACCTGTGGCTTCCAGGTCTGACTGGAAGCAGTGCTAATGTCACAGGAGTAGTTCTGGCAAAGGACTGTGAGGGAAAGGGGTGGGGGCCTACATACTGGTGCTGACGCCTCTTCCTCACCTGAGCAGACCCATGAGCCATGGGAGACTTGACTGCAGGGCCGAGGGAGTGAAGGCCTTGGAGCCAGGGACTCCTTCAGACTCTGCACCGGCCCCTCCTTGGCTGGGGTGTTAATACCACTCTGCGCCTTCTCTGATTTTCAAAGCCTGATGTCAAATTTGTGGACCCAAACTCCAACTGAGCAAACCAACCTGCTACAGTGTAGGCAGACCCTCTCCCAGTGAACAGTGATTGGCCCAGAACCTAGAAATCAGAGCCAGGGATGGTGGGGTTGTCAAGTCGGGCAACCTGGGCTCCGCAGGGAGTGGGACGAGGCAAGGGTGCGGCCGAAGGGCCAGGTCCCTGAGCTGGAGAACAGCAGCTGGTGTTTGGCTAGGCTGTCTTGGACCAGTTAGTAGAAAGACGATGTGCGGTGTCATTAATAGGGCCCTTATATTGGAGGGCTGAGGGGACATGGCACTGAAGCTACATTTAGGGGTCTTTAGACCTCCGAGTAGCTAAGAGGCCCAAAGCACTGACTCATGACTGGAGAACAGGCCGTGGTTAAAGGACTGGAGCTCAGACTGTGGAAGGCAGCAGAGAGGGCGTGCTTAAAAGGTCCCTGAAAATGCAGGACATACACGGGCCATCGGGGAACAGTGATGCTTCAGTGAGGATGAGGAGGATTCAGCTAAGACCTGAGTACAGATTAAAAGGAACAAAGCCCCGGAAGGAACTTCCCAGAAGCCAAAGGGAGTAATCAGTCAGAAGAAGAGGCAGTCCGGGCCTGGAGACCTGGCAAGTTCCCTCCCCTCGGCTGGCATGTCTCCAGAATCTCGATCACCCTCCCCATGCAAAGGCCCAGATTCCCCAACAAATTGATTAGATTTATTTGGGACTTATTTTCTTCTCAAGGATTGGATTCATGCCCCAAATCTAGGCCCGAATTCATGTGAATTCCTTTCCAAATGGATGAGAGACTAAGGGGCACAGCTTGAGCTTATTCAAGATTCGACTAGAACAAAAGGACAAGAAAACACAGGTCAGAATTGGTGCATGAAAAGAAAACAAGTTGGTCGTTCTTAGGTCACTTCAATAAAAGCTTTTACTTATTTATTGCATCTGATTACAGAAAGTAGAAGAAAACATGTCTATTTAGTTGCTCGTTCTATCTCAACTCTCACACAAAAGATGACAGCGGGTGTCGAGAGCTCGGAAACACCCTGGAAGGTGCGTGAGGCAGACAGAGGTCTGTGGTGGCAGGAATGTCCTCTTAGCCTCCGCAGAAGGTGCATCAGGGTGAAGCTCCCCCCACAAACTCTGCCCACACAGGTCTTCTCCCTGAGGGTCCTCGGGTCGAAGATCAGGTAAAACTAATCACTAAAGCGTCTCACCGACTCCCTCCCTGTCCATGTAAAGCTTCTTCCAACGCAGCTGTGCTCTGATACGTAGCGAGCCGTGCTTTTCCCGAGTCTGTGCCCATTCTGCCCACATGCATAGAGCTTCTATGTACAAGTACGAGCTGGGGCTTGTGAAAGGTGACTCATGTCCACACTCCTTGTACACTTCACATGTCTTACAGTGGAGTCACCAGAGAGACAATGAGACGGGGAACTGAGTGGTTTTTTGGTGAGTAAGGGCTGACCGGGCAGAGGAAGAAGCTCACCTGCAGTGTGTTTCCAACTGAGATCTTACGAGCATCTCTGGATCCAGGATGACCCTTTGGACCCAACTGAGTTCAGGAGTGAGGTTTCGCCTCCCCATGTCCATCTGCCATTGACCAGGCGTGAGTCCGTAGGGAGGTGCAGTTCCCTGTGGCTGAGAGCAGATCCTGGAGAAGAATTCGGCCCTGCGGCCATCAGAGCTGCAGCTGCGTTGGTCCGGATGCGGTTATCTGGGCAGAGCTCCTCGGCATCCTCAGCCCTAGACATGACCCCACTTCACCCCTACAGAAGGATCTCCCTGCGGCGTGAGAGCCCGAGAGCCTTGCCCAACACACAGCTCCTCCCTGAGGGCGCCACCTTGTGCCTGTCCGTCGGCCGCTGGATGTTCGGGAAATGTTGACTTACTGCTAACGCCTCCCCCACAGTCCCTGCTCACCCCACGTGTCCGCCTAAGTGTGTCCTCCTTGTGCAATAAGCGTCGACTTACAGCTGGAGTGACCCACACTCTGAATGTGTAAACCTCCTCGGATGAATGTGTCCCCGAAGCCTGATGAGAGTCACCAAATCTCTGAAGGTCCACTCACTCCACACACACAGAAGGGCTATTCCCTAGGTGTCTCCGTGGCACAAGATGAGGTTTGACTGACTGCTGAAGTCTTGCCTGTGATTTCTGCATTCACAAGGCTTCTTCCCTCAGTGTGTCCTCTGGGGTCTGATGACATTTGGCTTGTGCTGTCCGTACCCCTTGGAAACATAATGCTTTTCCTTGAGTGTGTCCCCTGGTGCATGAGGAGAAGTGACTTCCGGCTAAAGCCTCGTCCACACTTATCACACACATAAGGCTTCTCCCCTGAGTGCGTCCTTTCGTGTGTGGTGAGGGTCGATTTATAGAAAAAGCCTCGCCCACACTCATTGCATATATAAGGCCTCACGCCTGAGTGTGTCTTCTGGTGTCTGACCAGATTTGACTTGTAGCTAAAACTTCGCCCACACTCCCCACAAACATATTTCTGCCCTGTGTGTGTCCCCTGGTGAGTAAGAAGGAATGACTTCCGGCTAAAGCCTCGGCCACACTCACCACACGTGTGAGGCCTCTCCCCTGAGTGAAGCCTCTGGTGTTTTCTGAGGGTTGACTGATCACCAAATCTTCGTCCACACTCCGGGCACATGTAGGGCTTCTCCCCTGAGTGTGTCCTCTGGTGTCTGATGAAGCATGACTTCTCACTGAAGCTGTGCCCACACTCCTGACAAACAAAGGGCTTCTCCCCTGAGTGAATCCTCTGGTGTTTTCTGAGGGTTGACTGATCACCAAATCTTCGTCCACACTCCATGCACACATAGGGCTTCTCCCCTGAGTGTGTCCTCTGGTGTCTGATGAAGCATGACTTCTCACTGAAGCTATGCCCACACTCCTGACAAACAAAGGGCTTCTCCCCTGAGTGAATCCTCTGGTGTTTTCTGAGGGTTGACGGGTCACCAAATCCTCGTCCACACTCCATGCACACATAGGGCTTCTCCCCAGAGTGTGTCCTCTGGTGTCTGGTGACGGATGACCTCTCACTGAAGCCCTGTCCACACTGATGACAAACGTAGGGCTTCTCCCCTGAGTGAATCCTCTGGTGTTTTGCGAGGGTTGACCTATCACCAAATCCTCGTCCACACTCCATGCACACATAGGGCTTCTCTCCGGAGTGTGTCCTCTGGTGTCTGATAAAGTACGCCTTTTCGGTGAAGCCGTGCCCACACTCCTCACAAACATAGGGCTTCTCCCCAGAGTGACTCCGCTGATGTCTAGTGAGGACTGAGTAACTTCTAAAGCTCTGCCCACACTCCTTGCACAAATAATGGTTCTCTTCTGAATGTATTTTTATGTGTCTGTTCAGGTTGGACTTCTGGCTAAAGCTTCGCCCACACTCGCTGCACGTGTGCGGATTCTCTCTTGGGTGTCTCTTCTGGTGATTAATGAGGACCGACAACAGGCTAAAGCCTCGGCCACACTCAACACACACATAAGACTTCTCCAATGCGTGCGTCCGCTGGTGTCCGATGAGGTTTGATTTATCTTTAAAGCCTTTCCCACACTCCTTGCAAACATGGAGCTCCTCCCCTGAGAGGGTTACCTGGTCTGTAATAGAGTTTGATTCCAGGCTACCATCTCGTTCGTGCTCACTAGAGACGGCTCCAGATCTTGGGGTTTCCGATTCCTTCATTCTTTTGTCAGTTTGCACAGGGTTTGCCCTTTGGGATGAGTTGGGCTCTATTCCTACCACTGTGTTGCTTTCTCTAGGACTCACTGACTGCGGTTGGAGTGAGCTGGGGGAGGCGCTTGATGTTTTTCTCCCCTCTGTGCTCACAAACAAGGGTCCAAAGCCGTCTTCTCTCTCTTGACCTTCTGTGTTTTCACTCCAGCAGCTCGGAGAAGAAAACTTCGGCTCCGGGTGCCCTGGGCCAGAATGCCCTGGATGGACGTCCTGAAAGTCTGAGAAGAGTGGAAGCACATGCTGGCTGAGGAGTGGCTGAGTGGAGGAGGCCAGAATGCAGTGAGAGCAGGCATCTGCTCCTGGCTCTAACTCTGCTGGGGAGAGAGTGTTCGTTAGAGAAGCTCGAAGCAAGGCTGCGGGGCTGCTCCATCTTGTCGCAGAACCAAGAGTGTCTTTCTGCCACCTGGTTACTGATAATACCTGCACAACATGACTTGTTTCCTACCAGTAATTCCTTCCTAATCCATTCCTACACATTCCATTTTCTACTGCAATCCAGTGAAAGCGTGTCAGAAACACCCTCTATATGTCATTGGAAATAGGAGCCTTTCAGGTAGGCATTCTGCTTTGTGAACAGCTTCAATGCCATGGGCAGTTTCTTTCTAGTAAATCATCCAAGCCAGATACTTGCATTGGTATATTATTCACAGTTCTGTTGTGCTTGGAGGTAAGAGTCTCTCTGACCTACATGGAAATCTCCTTCTTGACTTTTCTTGTTAAAACGAAAGAAGTTGATACACATGAAAGTCATTTCATCTGGAGGGCTTCTAACACAGGAGACAGTATATGAAACAGTGGCTAACGAGATTGTATATGAAATAAATCTGAATTTCAGGTTGCCCAACTGCAAACAGTACTTATTAGAAATTTCCAAGTGCTCAGTGCTCTACTAGGTAGTGTGGATTCTGCAATGGACAAGAAAGATGTGGCCCATGAGTTCAGAAGTCTGACACCTTGTGCCCAAACCAATCCCATCACAATGACTTCAGAGATGGCTGCAGGATTTGCTTGGGCCAATAGAGGTTGGTGAAAAGTTAGTGCCACTTTTAAACACATTTTAAGAGCAGAGTTCCTCACTGCTCTTCTCCTGTCTCCCTTAAGAATCCCGTGACCCAGAAGGAGGCTGGTCCTTTTGCCTGGATTCCAGCATCAATAGAGCTGAACCCCACGTGAACTGCTGACAAGAGGTACCATAAGAAATGAACATTTGCCAAAGTCTGGGGTTGTTTGTTATCACAGCATTGCCTAGCCTATACTAACTGAAATATCTCCTGTGAAAGCTGTGAGGATTATTTCAGAGGAAAGTGGCCCATTTATTTCTAACAGTGCACTTGAAGAGACATTGTTACATGAATATGTGAAGAATTAAAGAAAAAGAGACAGGTTGAGGGGGGAAATAGCATGATCTCCATTTTTTATTAAGTTTGAAAATAAACTTGTGCTCTCTTGCAACAAAACAGAAAAGCACAGGTTTTTTGGTTGCGAGATAGTGACAGAGAAAATGGCTTCATCATAACATGTGCTGAGCAAAATCACTAAAAGTTCACAAATTATTTAATATAGACCCAGAAAAAAAAAAGAGCATGTGAACACTAGTCCAAAGGAAAGCAGAGAGAAAAGCCAAAAGGAGAGACAGACTTAAGAGGCTGGGGAACTGCAGGACACTGTGGTGTCGAGCAAGACAAAGGACACAATGTCAGGAAATCCAGGGTCTCCACATCGGGACTAATCTGAACCAGATCACTCTGACATTTTTCTCCAAACCCATTTGATGTATTAACATAGAGAAAGAATAACATGACCAGAGGAAAATAAGAATAGAACAAAATCTAGTTGGGTTGACTAGCCAAGGCCAAATCCAAACAGACAGAACCAGACTGAACTGGATGGATCCACACTTAATTAGATAGAGCCCAAACTAGAGGGAATCAGATCAAAACCTATGGAAGAAGATGAAAAAGGAATGAAGAAACTCGGATTAACTGGTATCAGGGAAACAGCCAGGGCCTTGGAAGAAGGCTCCTGCAGAAACTCCTGCCTGAAACTAGTTCGTGTCTGCAAAAATGTGACTCTCTCCACATGCTTTGTCTAGAAATACGGAGATATCGGAACTGCACGATGCAACGTGGTAGCCACTAGCCACAGGTACATGTTTATGGAGCATCTGGCATGTGGCCACTCTGAACATCCTGCATAAAACACACACGAGACTTCGAACGTTTAGCACAAAAACAAGACGTGTCATATTTATAGTGATTACGTGTTGAAATAGTATTTTGATATATTGGGTTAAAAAAGACTATTCATTTCACCCATTTATGCCTACTTTTTAAATGTGGTCACTAGAAAATGCCGAGTAGCCCACGTGGCTCTCAATTGTATTTCTGCTGCACTGCGCTGCTCTAGGACACGGGCGGGAAAACCAGCCTGTGAGCTAATCCTGCCTCTGCTGTTATATAGTCTATGAGCTCATTACAAAGGGCTGAATGCAATTTCAGCTCTTTAATAGTTAAGGAGTAGTTACATGATACAGTCCTAAAATTATTTTGGCCCTTTGGAGGCAACCTCGAGGCTGATGTGGCCCCCAGTGAAAATGAGTTTGACACCCCTGCCCATAGGGGGCGGGGGTTACTGTTTCATTTACTAATGTGTTCTAAGTGTCCAGAACATTTTCTGGCACCTAGTGGTGGTCAATAAACTAATGAAGGAAAGAACGCAGCCTCACCCAATGAGAGCAGATTGCTGTAATTCTCCAGCATCACCTCTCTGTACAGGCTCCTCTGCTCAGCACTCAGCCGCTTCCATTCTGCCTTGGTGAAGACCACAGCCACGTCCCTGAATGTAACCGGTACCTGTAAGCGAGCAATCCATTCATGAACCGCAAGCCACCAGCAATTTCCCCGGTGGGAGGAGTGTATGTAGTGACCATGAGTCTGGATATGAAGGAAGTTAGTCTAATTCTTTTCAGGGTACATGGTTCTGCATATCAGATTCTCCTGGCCGTTACTATAGCTCTGTGTTAAATCCGAGGGAAGCATCACTGATACATACGGTACATTCCCAGACCCTGGACACTCATGATTTCATTGGAGAAATAACTCGTGAATCAGTTTGAAACATGAAGCAGCTCTCAAGAAAGTGACCTCGAGGGTTCATCATGGAGGAATTCAAGATGGAAGGGTTCGGCCCTGACCAGTGTGGCTCAGTGGCTTGGGCGATGTTTCTCTCACATCAAGTCGCTGTTTCTCTCCCCACCCTCCCTTCCCCTTCCTCTTTAAACACACAAACAAAAAAAAGATGGAAGAGTTCAGGATGAGCTGGAAAACTCCCATTTAAAAGGAACTTTGTACCCATAGTGTATCGTCCAATAACAATTCATAACTTATAAGGGGAGGGTAAATTTACAATCCAATGACATTGTAATTTAACATAAAACCAAAAAGTTGTTTTCATTTTACATACCAGGAAAATTTATTTAGAATTTCCCTTATTCTCATGTTCCCATATTCTTTCTCTCCCTGCCTCTCCCTATCTATGTAACTTTTTGTTGAATACTGGACATTTTAGGTAAAACATTGTAGCAACTTGTATACCAACCCTTCTCTCTCCCCAGGCTGTTGCTGTGGTCACTTGTCCATGTTTGCTGACTTGTCTGGAGTAGTTTAATAAAGGCTACTGCCCCAGGGCTGTGGCTTATTGTAATGGGGTACAGGCAGAGGCCCCCAATTTGAAGTGGGGTATCCAGAAAATATAAAAATATAGGAAGTCCTCACCCCCACAAGTCTGGACTGAGGGATGGGACACAAGGAGCAGGGCCATTGAGAGTTATTTTGCATATCAACAGTCGGCCAGCTTCATACCTGATATGCAAAAAATGGTTATTTTGCATATCTATAACAGCTGGCTAGCTTCATAGGCATGGTAAGTAGCTGTGGCCCTGCTTTGAGCCAGGGAGATGGATGTAGCTAGAAGGCAGTTCCCCCTTGTTACAGCGCCTGCCCAAGAGCTCGGAGACAGTTTGCTCCGTGCCCCGGGTCCATGCCTGCGCCAACTACAACAGAAAAAGAAAGGCTGGAAAAAAACAGGAGCATGGTGGCAGGTGTAGCCAATTGTGGGAGGAGTCGGAAATGGGGCCACAGAGCAAGATTTGCACTGGGCTTTAAACCCAGGCACGACAGCCATATCAGGTTTTCCAACCACACGGTTTTGGGGCAAGGAGGGTGTTCCCTTGACCATGTGTCTTGGGAAGCAGGGAAGCAAGAAGCTGCAGCCACGCAGAGCTCTCAGAGAGCAGTCTAGAGGAATGCAGGAGAGTCTGTGTGAAGGAAAGGGGTGAAAGGACTCCTGCTGGTGGGCATGAGAAGGTGCCACATGGGTTTGGACTAAGAACTGGAGATCCCAGTGACACAGCTGATGGTGCTGAGAACCTCGGGAGGCCTGCCAGCCCAGCACTGAGAGGAACCAGAAGTGAGCTGCAGACTTCTGTGTTTTTCTTCCACAGGACAGTACTTCTGATTGGCATGTTCTGAGACTTGCCCCTGCCAGGGCAAAGGGGGAAGGAAGGACTGTGTGTGTTTGTGGGTGTTTTAAGGGACTTTGGGGTTTGGGTGTTTTTTTTAAGATTTTATTTTTAGAGAGAGGGAAAGGGAGAGAGAGAGAAACATCAATGTGTGGTTGCCCCTCACTCGCCCCCTACTGGGGACCTGGCCTGCAACCCAGGTATGTGCCCCGACTGGGTATCGAACAGGCAACACTTTGCTTTGCAGTCCAGTGCTCAATCCACTGAGCCACACCAGCCAGGGCAGACTTTGGGATTTTAACTGTTGAGATCTGGGAAATTGAGAACATAGCCTGACCACAGCAAAACAGGAACAAGGAACAGCATGCAAACAAAGGCTGAGCAGACAGCCTGCAGTATGTGAGTGCCCTACTTAGAGCAAGATAGGCAGATTGTAATCTGTTTAGTTTTGAATTTTGAAACCCCACCCTGTTCGGTCTCTGTCAGCAAATAGCTAACTGCCACGTCTGCTTCTGTTCAACGCTTGCTTGCTCGTCCCTATATAAGAACTTAGCTGTAAGCGCTCAGCGCGGCTCTCATCTGCAGCCCTTTTGGGCACCATGTCTCCGGACACCCCGAGAGTTCGCCCCTGCGCAGGTTAAGCTTGGCCAATAAAATAAGATCAAAACCCTGAAAGTTCTTCGAGAATTATTCTCGCATCCAGTGGATATAACATAACAAAGACATTAAGTCATTTCTCTAAGTCTGTAGAACTTTTGAATAAATAGTTCCTTTCCTTTTTATCAAACTCTGGCATTGAGAGCCATAATTCCAATTCCCCGGCAGCAGGCTAAGAATCCACAGTGACAGAGGGACCCCTGGGTCCATTCTGTAACATTATCAGTAGGTGAAGCCTTAGACATATAGTCACTATGACCACCTCCCCCCCCATAACAGGGTAGGTCAGAACAGAGGTCCCCTGAAAGCAGGGGACCTACCCACCCAAATCCTGCAAAAAGGCAGGCAGCAGGGAGGGAAAGAATGCCAAGAGTGGAATGCACAGCATTTGAGGCATATTGCATAACAAAGACAGATAAACAACACATTCCTTCCTGAAGGGAGAGGCTGCCTGGAGCAAATTGTGAACGTGACTGAGAACTAGTGCTAGCGAAGTGAGTCAAGACATAGGGGTGGGGGGCATAAGCTCCTGTGTGAGCTGCAGGGGCGGATGTTCACCCTGGATGTCTGTGCATGGCTGCGAAACTCTTGCCCTGACTAAAGATGACAACCACAAGAGGGTCAAAGACACTGGGGAGCTGACAAAAATGGTAGTCACTAATGCACAGCAGGAAGAGCCGGAAGTTTGGCCACTCAGGAAGTTCTGAGCCAGGTCTTTAAATTGAAGCACATCAAGAAACATGAGGTGGGTTTGGAGGGCCATTTGAAACATTCTCAGTGCCCCTCCTGCACAGACAGCAACAGAGCTGGTGGCACTGCGGGGGGACCTGCCTGGCCCAGCATAGACACTGATTGATATGGGAAGCTTTGAAGAACCTTTGTTTAACCTTTGTTTGCCCAGGCCCCAGGCGCCCTGGGGAGAATGATGGGGCTGTCTGGGATAAGTAAACAACGGTGCATTAGCTGGGGCTGAGATTAGCACCTCTGCTGTTAAAAACTAACCTTTGAATTTAGCCTTTGTGCTTTACTTCGCCTTGTAACTGGGCTTCCGCTTTCCTGCTTCGGTATCTTACTTTACTACCCCGAAGACTATATAAACCCCAGGAATCCTTTGTTCCTCAGAATTTGGAGACTAACTTCTTTGGGTCCGTGCACGTTAATAAACCTCGTACTCCAGGAACCCTCTGTGTCTGGTTGCTTCATTTTCCTGCAACATGATGAGCTGATGATGGCTGGAGTAAAGCCAGCTCCAGAGAAACAGACAGACTTCTGAGTTTCTGGACAGTACTTTTGAATGGCATGTTCTGAAACTGGCCTAGCTTGGCAGAGGGAGGCAGGGCTATTTGTTTTGGGGTGTTTTTAAATGGCGTGGAACTTAACGGCACACCATATGGGGTGTCCAACCTTTGGGCATTCCTGGGCCACACTGGAAGAAGAAGAGCTGTCTTGGGCCACACATTAAATATACAAACATTAACGAAAACTGATGAGCAAAAAAAAAAGGTTTTAAGTAAATTTATGACTTTGTGTTGGGCCGCATTCATAGCCATCCTGGGATGCATGCGGCCCACAAGCCACTGGTTGGACACCCCTGGAAATGTTCCCGCCCTGTCACTCTCTCTCACACACTTGGCATGAAGATGTTGCTCTCTTGGTGCAGGGGCTCTAGGACTTTGGAGCTTGGTGTAAACTCTCTCCCTCTGAGCTTTTGGCATTTGAATGTTCTGGGCCTCTGGCTTGCTCCCCACATGCACAAGAGCACTTGTGGGACCAGGAGGTGCTGGGCCCACCAGGGCTCAGACCCCGTAGAGGATGGAAGCCCACTCTGGAAGCAGGGTCCCACACGGGGATGCATGCCTCTCTGGGCTCCAGCATCCTGGACACTGGTCCGGTGCAGCAGGGCATGCGGCTCCAGGACTGCTAAGTGGAGGCTGAGAACAGTGCACCCCAGGTCCTAAAGGAGAGAGCTGCTTGTGAGGACATGGCAACTCCGAAACCCACAGCACATATGCCAGAGAGGATGGACTTCTGTCTGTGTGGCCCACTTAGTAGGACAGACAAATGGGGAACTGCTGGGCATGGTTTTGGCTTGTAGTCTTTTGGGGAACAAGAGAAGTTCTGGGTCTCATGGGAGAAAAGGGCTCAGAGTGAGTACTCTTGGCACCACCCTGTTTGGAACCCTGTTAATAAAAACCTGCTTCCTCCATCACAAATTGTGCGGTTGTATATAAGGGCACCAAGTGACCAAAACCCAGCTTGCATGGTTCTGTCCCCCTCCAGAAATGGCAGTCCTTTTATCGGGCTCTCTTCCTATGTCCCCCTGATCTCTGTGGCAAGGTTCTGGCTGGCCCCCTATATTGGTATCACACCCACCCTCCACTGATCACTAGCTGATTGCACTACTATTTTCAATAATGTCTTAGTGAATAAATGGCTCCGCTGTCTGACTCAATAAAGTCAGGCCCTTTTACAGGGGTAGTTTTAAGGCCAGTATTTGAGACTCCAGCAGGGCTCCTGTCAGCTCAGTCTCTCCCTTGTTCGCTCCATTAAATCTTTTGGCTGACTGGCCAGTTTGCTTGTTGCTATCATGGACCTGCCAAGTGCCTCTGAACTGCTCACCACCCAAATCTCCATTGTTTTCAAGAGCACCATTAGGTATCCACTTCCTTACCCTCTGTTCCAAATAAAGCCAGGGCTCTTGGGTGGTGCTAAATCTGTCTCTGCTCCTCCAGCCTGCCTCTCCCCCAGGGCAAGATCTCTGCACATGCTTAGACCAGGAAGCCGGATCAGCAGCCACTTCTCTCCGTGACGCCCCAGCTCTAACAGCAGGAAACTGAGGGTGGCGGGTGATGGAAGCTCCTTTCTTCTCAGCTTGCCTCTCTTGGCACAGAACCTCTGTCCTCTGAGTAAGCTGGGGAGATGGCAATCGGGTCCCTACTGATTCTTGACCTCCTATATCTGGGACAGAGCTTCTATCCTACCAACAGGGGCTGGTGCAGAGAGAAAACTCCAGACCTCTCGGCCAGCTTGCCTGCCAACATTGATGCAGGGGGAATGAGAACTGCTGGTGGCCAGCCCCTCCCAGGGAAAAAGTATAGTCCTAGACTAGGAACTGGAACAGAAAAGAGCTCCATCTCCTCAGCTGTACCCACTCAGAGTACAGCATCCATTACACTGGGCTGAAGAGTGGACAGACGGAGCAGGTCATGTGACTAATGCCACGGACTTACTGTTTCTGCTGAGGCTTTCTGAAATACATGTTTCTCCCCTTGCTATATGCCCTTAGGACAATTTCCAGAGACTTTAAATGTTGGGTTTCATGGGTGTTTAAAAACCATCTGGTTGTTCCACTGGGGAGAGTGTGTGCAGAGCCCCTCACACCAGCGCCCCACAAACGCTCCCCCGTGTCTGTCCGGGAGCCTGACCGTCAGTCAGTAAGCTGGGAGTGGGTGGACACGGGTGTGAGAGCTCTATGCTAGCACTTTGCAGTGGCTTTTACTGCACCATTATGTAACCATGTCAACCATTATAGTAAAAACAACTATTATCGTCATCATTTCTTGTTTTTATGCATTACTTTTCCAAGGAACTTGTAGGTTCCTTGAGGACAAAGATGGCCTACTTATAAACCTATTACTTTGGCTCAAAGAATCTCACACACACACACCCACTGGCATGAAAGAATAAGTCAAATGCCTGGGAAAAGGGAGGACACAGACAGAGAAGGCAGAACGGGGGTGAAGCGCTGTATTGACAGAGAGCGTTCCACATGAGTCATTCATCCAATAATGCAGGGCCATTCCCTGAGACTGGGAAATAATGCTCCTGTATTTTCAGACAGGGAATGATGTGGCAGAAAGAGTCCAAAAGGCAACACAACACATTGGAAGATGCAGGAGCTTGAGAGTCAGAGAAAACGGAGTTCGGATCCTGGCTCCGCCACCGAGGAGATGAGTGTAGCCATGCACCCATCACAAACCCCTCACACCCTACTTCCTCTCCCCGGAGGAAATAAAACTCCCACCACCACTGCCCCCTTACCATTTTAAAAACCCTCACCCAGGGATACGTTGATTGATTTGGGGGAGAGAGGAAGGAAGAGAAGCAGAGAGAGAAAAGAAATGTGAGAGAGAAACATGGACCAGTTGCCTGTCACACATGGCCTCACCAAGGAATCAAACCCAGAAACTATGTAGGTGCCCTGACCGGGGACCAAACCCGCAACCTTTTGGTGTATGGGACCACGCTCCAATCAGCTGAGCCATGCAGCCAGGGCCCTCTTACCAATGTTTTTTAAGAGTTATGGAGAAAATGTTATAATGTCTGGGATGTGTCTACAATAATCCAGTGAGGGACATGGGAAGGGTAGAAATCTAACACGACCGGCCACTGTAAATGACTGTTAAGCTGGATGATGGTACCTAAGGCCCTATTATTACCACGCTTCCTACTTCTCTATATGTTCACAGACACCAGTAGTAAAAAAGTAAAAAGGTGTCCAGCGCAAAAGAAATATCATCAGATCGTGTGCATGTGAAGGGACGTTTAACAGTACATTTAAATTCTTTAATAACCTCAGGTGTTCAAAAATATCCCTTAGGTTTCAAAGTTTCCTAGACTCTAACTATTCATCTTGGGCATGTTTTTTAACAAGGAGAGAAAACCCAAGTGCAGAACCCATTGCAGAGTGATTAACACAGCACCTGACACCGGTGAGGACCTGCCTCCGCGTCCACTGCCTCTTCCCTCCCCGAGAAGGAGAGTATGAGCGTGCCTGTTCTCTGACAACAAGCCAGCATTTCAGGGCGGGAAAAATGTGACCCCGACTCACCAATATCTTGGGCTTTCCCTCCTTTCCCTGGGGCCAGTCGGTACTGTTAGAAGGCACACCTGGGGGAAGAAGCAGCAGCTAGGAGAGAGCAGCCCTCCCGTAAAGCCCTCGGGGCAGCGCCTCCAGGCCTCGTTCGCTCAGCTGTGGTCAGGAGCCCGTTCTCCTCTAAACCTGGAGTCTTGCTCCCCCTTCTTCACCTCTCCACACTCTCCGCGACTCACCTTTTGCCTGATGATTTCTAATCAATTTCTTCATGGTCTGCGTCTCTTCCCTGTCGTCCAAAGACAAAAATCTCCTCCCAGCCCTGCTGTCCCAAGGCAGAAGGATCAGGCAACGTCGTGGCCCCAGAGTCAACCCAGTGTTTGCCTCGAAATTCTGCCAGAAGGCCAAGGTAGAGGTTACTTCACCTCAAGACTGATTTCCGCTGCCTGGGCTTCTCCGAACTTTATTTGCAAGAGCCCACCTGGTTGCATGAAGCCGGGACCTGTGGAGCAGAGGAGCGATTTGGTGTCACCAGGGACTCTGGTGGAGGCCCTAAGCCCACGCCTCTGAGCAAGGATCCTGTCTTCTCACACCCTCCCCATTCAATAAATACGGAGCCGCAGTCCACTGGGCTCCTCGGATTTTTTTACCTCATTTCTTTCCAGCCTTCGAGCCCTCAAGTCCACCCCCTGCCACCCTCTCTTATGTGACCAAAGTTACAATTCCCTCCCACCCTCAGTCTCTGCCACTTGGAGCCTGAGTGGAAGAGAAGATGCAGCACAAGGCCTGTGGAGAGTGTCTCGGAATGTCTCCTTCCAGACCAGTGGACATTCAGAACTCAGCTCCTGACCCCTGGCCCTCGGTTCCAGCTGAGTTCCATCCCGTGTCCCTGCGCTCTGAGGAATTTTATGGGCGTCTGAACTAAGTCCTTCTTGCTCTAGGTAGAACTCCAGGGCTCTACAAAGATAACCCCCCGATTTCTTTCCTGCACCGGTACGCCACAGGCCTTACCAGTGAGGTGCACGAGTGTCTCCTGATGGGATCTGAGGTCCTCTACTCACGCAGGCCCAAGGAAGTCAGGGGGCGTAAGGAGCTGCCCCACCTTCAGAAGCAACTCAGACACCCTGTCTGGGCTCTCAGCCCAGATGCCGGTGGCCCTGCTGTTCCCTTCTGAGACTGGCTAGGGTTCCCCTAGAAGCTCTTTTGGTTCATGCTGTAACACCACAGGCAGAGACAGTCACTCACTCTTCCATCCAAACTGGGCACCCCACCTTGACCACACTATCGTGCAATTCTTCTCTTTATACGTACTATCTGTACTAGGTAGTAACAGACACTCTATTTACTCTACCTGTACTAGAATGCGAGCTTCCTGTAAGAAGAAATGCGTGTCAGTGGTCTTGCTACTTCTAGTGATTAGAATAAAATAGTCCTTTGTGATAGACTTTATCCTTGTTCCCCCATTCTTTGTTTCTCTGTAAACAGACTGTACTTCCTGCCCCGTGACATCAGGTCTTGCCTTAGGCAATGGAATGTGAGTGAAAATGACACGCCGCATCTACACATGGCAGTGACGCCACCATTGCTCATGTTTCCAAGAACAGCATGTTTCCGAGGAGGGCCTTCATTCTACTGCAAAAGGTCACAGTGCTGAGCTACAGCTGATCTACAGAGGAGGAGCGGTAAGACTGGGTTTAAGGTTAGGTCGTTTGTGGTCATGAGATTTGGGGGTCCTGTGTTCCTGCAGTACAACGCAGCCTGGGCTGATAAATCCTGTCCTCTTCCTCCAACTAATGCTAGTAGTTATAGCTGACATTTACGAAACAGGTACTGTGCTATTGGCAGAGCGCTGTGAGTCTTCACAACACAGAAGAGGTAGACACTGCTATCCTTCCCATGTTATAGAGGAGGAGACTAAGGCCTGAGAGGTACATTACTTGTCTTAAGATCACACAGCTACCAAGTGTTGAAGCCAAGCCCCGAATCCAAAAGTTTCATTCCAAGGCCCCTTTTCTTCACCATTGCCTAAAGTAATGCTGAGTGGCCAAGTCCCTAAATGTAAAAAACAGAGTGAGCAGATGACCACAGGTTTCAAAGTTCACCCTGAAGAAGACGGGACCCCAGAGTGAAGTGGAGAAAGGGGTCTGTAAGTCAGGATGGGCCAAGTTATCCTGTAGTAGCAAATACTCCCCCCGCCAAAAAAAAAATCTGTGACTTAAAGTCACGAAAGTTACTTCCCCCTTCAGCGACGTAGGCATCGTGTGTCAACTGCAGTTGTGCTCAAAGCCGCCTTCACTGCAGCACCAAGGCTGACCATGGGGCCGACAGTTGGAGCATGACCAGCAGGAGTCGTAGAGGGAAATGAAAGGCACAGAACCATACTCGGGCTCTCAAAAATTCTTCCCAAAGTGACACCCTGACTACGCCCACATAAGCAAATCAAGTCACACCGTCGCTCTTGAGTTCAATACAGGAGGGGCATATGCTTACAGGGAGATGCCAGGATATCTGATACACAGTGACAACCACGACTAGGTCCTGAGCCCATAAATCAATTCTCACCCAGCCCCAGTGCGCACCATCAGCCGGAACTTGAGTGGGCTAGGACGTGGCTGTGCCTAGGATACAAAAGGAAGGGGCTGGGTCTCTCCATTCGCCATAGCATCAGAGCACAGGCAAGGATACTGACTTGGAAAAACCTAACTCAGCTCAGAAAAATGAGGACTGTCAGGAGGGAGGGACAAGGAGAGAAGAGACTGGGTAGAGAGAGAAGACCAAAAGAAACGGGTAATTTCATGGGAGAAAAAGACTGCCTACAAATCTAGTCCAAAAAAACAAATAAAAAGAAAAATATCAGTAACCAAAAAAGAAAATGGAAAGACAGTCAAAGATCTTCTCTTCCAAAAGCATCAGCCTCGGGCAATTTTATTAGTAAAACTCTAAAGAGGAGGTCATTCCTGCAATACATAGTAAGTGCCCAAAAGTGTTTTTTCAAAAAATCTTCCTAACTCATTCATCAAGGACACCAATAGCAAGCAAGACCATGACAGAAAAAGAAAACTAAAGGTCATTTCCATGCGTAAAAACAGATGCAAAGATCTTAACTAACACAGCAGCAAACAATCCAGCTGTACCTTCAACAACTACCAGTTAGCCTTAATTCTGAGAATGGCGGGACAGGTTAGCATCAGAAAACCTTTTCTGGGAGGAAAAGCTTCCAGTCTCCTTTTGGTAACCTGACAATTTAGAATACTTTTGTTACCATAGATAGTTAGCTAATTATTAAATAAAGGGAGCAAACGGAATTAGACATTAAGTTTAAAAACTGAGTAACACAAGCCTTCTTACCTAGCGGAAAACTAGAGCATTTACAGACTCATTCACACACTCCGGGGGACTGACTGCTGCAAGGAGACTCAACACTAAGAGCACAGGAAATCTCCCCAGATGCACTGTCCGCCCTCCAGTACCTCAGTGGGAGGTCCTTGACCACAGAGGCCTGTCATTCTGGTTATAACCCCAGGCCCAGGGGAACAAAGAAGCATGCACATGCTCCCTCTCCCGTTTTCTCTCTCTCTCTCTCTTTTGTGACATGTACTAGCCCCAGGCGTTCACACATTCTCTCACCCAGCAGCACACAACCATGTGGATCTAGCAGCTTCTGGGGCCTGCAGCAGCTGCAGGAGCTGCACAGGACTAAGCTTTCATATGAAGCAGAAACTCTGGACTTTGGCCTTTGTTTTGTTTGGCCTTACTGAAGGCAAGGCTGGACTTTTTCCGTAACGAGACGGAAGGAGATGGGACGTTGGAAACCCAAGGGCAGATTTCCACCCACATAAACCATCTTACCACAGCACAATCTCCCACGTGGGGGTCCTGCGAATGCTTCCCTTGAAATCCTGTGAAAGAGCCTGATTTCCACCAATTACACTTTTACCTGAGAAAATCAAATTTAGCTTACGCTTTACATAAAAGTGAATTCTCAGTAAGAGCTAAACATTAGAACCAAAAATATAAACATTTAGAAACACATAAATTATATAATAATATATAATTGTATAACTATATATCCAGAAGCACCTACAGAAGAGGCGTGTAAATTTTATTGATATCAATTAAAAATTTCAGTTTAACTAAAGACACCTTTAGGAAAGATGGAGGAGCCTAAATATGTTGGCGTGGATTACAATCTTTGATTGTCTTTTATTTAAAAACCCACTGAAACAATCCGTAGGAAGTTACTAAAACTGACAACCTGTGGGAGCCCCGGCTGGTGTGGCCACTTGGTGGTAGCACCACCCCGGAGCTGACGGTGACGGGCAGCAGGTTCGGTTCCCGGTCAGGGCACAGGTCTAGGCCATGGGTGTGGCTGAATTGTTGCTTTGGTTTTTTAACAAGAGCAATGTTGCTGGGGCGAGGATCCTGGATACATGAATGGCAGCACTGGTCTGGGGTGATATTACCTCTCACTCATAAACCAGCCCTGGTGTCCTAGGGAAATCAGCAAGGGCTCAAAGCTTCCAGTGGGATATTTCAGGACACAAGATGTCGAGATGAGCAAAGAAAATTCACCCATGGTTTGTAGTAAAAGAAAACAGCGTAAGAATGTGAAAAGTGCACGGTACCCGCCCTAATGGGGGCTGTCAGGAACCCATGTTCTCTACAGAGTCCACTCGGGGCAGGCAGTGATACAAGAACGTGGACCTGAAGCTGAAACAGGCAGAGGGAGCTTCAGGACTGTCTCTCCGTCTCAGATACCAGGCTAGAAATCCAAGTTTAAAATGAGGAGCACTCCTCTTCCTCTAAAAAAAGTCTCAGATCTGTTAAGAAAGCGGACAGCTTCCGGGAACAGAGCACAACGTGGGCCTCAGAACACAGCCTGCCCTGATGCGCTGCTACTAAGTGGGGAGCGTGTCCTTTCTGTGCTGCGAGGGAGAAGAAACTTTCCTCTACCCTTCTAGGTTCTTCTGGCTGGTCTAATCATTAAACCTATATGAGACAGATCAGATTAGCAAGAGAAACTAACCAAATTTAACTACATGTGTAAGTGTGAGAACCTGCAAGCGTGAGAGAGTCAGAGACACCACATACACGAGAGGTTCAGAGACAGAAAGAGAAAATGAGGTCCAGTGGCCCTCTGAGCTAGGGACTAGGTGCCTTGGGACTTCGGAGGGGAAGCAGGTCACTTGCAGGACTGTAAGTAGAGCATATGTTCAGTAATGATGTGTTTGCCCTGCCCTACGGGTCATCATAACAAGTCACCTCTTATTCTGGGAAAGGCCTCAAGTCTAAATTCTTTAAGAGACAAGTAATAGCTTCTTGTGAGTCCTCAGGGTCTCGACTGCCTTCAGGTCAAAATAATTCACATGCCGAGTAGCACACCTCAGGCAGGCCTGTTCCAAACCTTGAATAGTCTCACCTTGAAACTTCCTGAGAAGTTTCACATTCCAGAAGTTGGGTTGGCAGGTTGTCTCATGTCTCATTAAACCAG